CCCCCCCCCGGCCCGCTCGGGCGATGCTGGCTTCGGTTGCCCGAGCTGGGAGGCGCCGACGGGGGTTCGCCGTGCCCCGAAGGCAGGGCTGGAGGAGACGTGACTGCGGAAGTCGGCGGGGCGCGGGCGAAGGCGGGTCGTTGGAAAGCGCCGTGGAGCCCGCAGCCCTTCCGCAAGAGCAAAGCTATGGCGCAAGGGAGGCGCTCCCCTCCCCGCCCCCCCTCCGCGCCTCGCCTCGCCTCGCTCCGGTGGGGGGACCGGGGACGCAACGGGCGAGCTCTGGGCAGCACTGCGCCAGGGCAGCCGCGCCTCCCAGCGAGGGGCGCAGGCTGGGGGCGGAAAGGGCTCGCTTCCCCCGCGCAAGGGCGAACGGAAAGCCCCCGGCCCCCCGGCCCGGCCCTGCGGAGGTACTGCCGGTTGGAGCAGCCGCAAGCGGGCCGTCCCGGAAGATCCGACTCGGCGGGCAGGGTCCCTTCTGGCCGCGCCGGGAGCGCGCAGGCCCTGGGCGAGCAGAGGGAGGCGGGCAAGTGTCCCTTGAACAGCCTGGATCGCAGAGCAGGCGACGCTTTGTGCGTGCAGGAAACTTCGTGTTGTAGCCCAAGGGAAAACTGCCGTCAGGGTCACTGCACTCACTACTAGTTGGTGTAAAGGACGAGTAGCCGTGCAGAAAGGGAATAACTGGATGAAATGAAGGCGGGGATGCTGTAGTTAGCGAGGGAGGAGGGAGGAGGCGGTCCTCGGGGAGGAAGCAAACTTGGTGGCCGTCCTAGAAAGTTCGGTGGCCTGTTGCCACATCCAGTCCGTGGTGGAAAGGAAGAAGCCACGGCAAGGCGGTCTAGGAGCCACGGTGCGAGCCTGTGGCTGCCAGAAGCTGGCTAGGCTGCCGAAGGATGTGTTGGCCCAGCCCCAACATGAGACGCAAGTCCCAAGGGCAGAGCTGGGACTCCTCGTGAGCAAGGGCAAAGGATTCAGAAATCCAGAACTGGCCGCTTATGGCTTTTGCTGTGTGGAGGAAGCACAGCAGGCATGCCTCCCTCCCCGCCCCCCCTCCGCTTCTCTCCGGGTCAGGTGCCCACAGCCCTCTGAGGCCTACCCTGCCCTCCCCCCCCCCGCACACTTTTATTGTGGGGAGGAGGGTGTCTAGTGTGTTGCGAGGGAGGTGTTAAAGGGATAATTGTAAGTAGTGAAAGCAGCGTCTGGGTTGCACTAAAAGTCAACGCTGCAACCATTATAAAAAGCACGTGAGGATTCTGGGGTCCCCTGAAGACCAGGAGAAAAAGGGGACCACTGCTTGCCTGCTGCAGCAAGAACAGCGACGTGCTTCTGGCATCTTGCAGATTCACAGTCAGGTGCCGCTCCTGCGCCTGCTTGGTCAGGGTGGGGCTTCATGGCTTTCCCCTGTGGTTAAAGCTGTGCAAGTCTGTGCTGACTTACTTGGGAGTAAGTCCCACTGTGTCCAGTGGGGCTTCTCTCTGCACAAATCTGCTCGATGGCCTGCAGGACACCCTCTCGCTGCAGGCAAAACGGAGCGGTTCTGCTCGCCCAGAACTCGTCTGGGAAGGATCGTGACCCCCCCCCCCGGCACTGCTCCGATAAGCGCAGTGGGGGCCTGGGCTGGATCACACACCTGATCCGGCCAGGTGAATCTGCCCGCCTAACCTTTCTAGCGGAACCAAGAGCCAGTGATAGGATTACAGTCTGAGATCCCATTTACCCATCAAGGAGATGCTATCTCCAGACGGAAGAGGCCGTTGCAAATGGAATTTAGGAGTCAAGGAGAGGGTGTCCTTTAGCTCCTGGCGGCATTTAACACCCGCAGTAATTCTGCTTTAGAGGGTCGCCGGCAGGCTGTGATATCAGAGGTGACAAGAGAGCCGAGCTTCTGCTGATGTGGGACCTGCAATTAAGGACCTGCAGATTAAGACAGGAATGGCCGGGGTTGCAGGCGGAGAGTGGCTTGGACTGCACCCGAGAGGTCGGCCGTGCCGGAGCACCTTGCCAGGGAACTGTCAGCCTCTGACTGCTCCCGAATCTTGTGCAGTTCTTTCCCAAGGGCTTCCGGTCCGGGGCAGCTTCCTGAATTGAGGCTGCCATAGGAAATGCAAGAGTTACTGTGGTCTTTCCTGCAGCAAACGCGTCCACTGGAGACAGAATGCACAAGTAGCTTCAGACACCTGTCTGTGTGCCCCCTGATTCAGGTGTCCTGGGGGGGGGGGGGAGATCCCTTCAAGCCAATGGGCCCTGCAAAGTGGCATACAGAAAAACTGAAAGACATCAACAAAGCAACAATTGCTTTGCAAGCCACACGAATACAGGAATATTATCCAAGACAAGACATTTTGAAATTTAGGTGTCACCACCCATGACCCTCCACTGTCACAAATACAGTGGATAGGTGTGACAGACCAGGACTTGAGCCTACAGATGGAATCAGGAGAACTTAGATGTGCATCATGGTGCCTGTAGTGCCTCTTACATCTGCTCTTAACAGAACTCCATTGTATGGTATTATCAGTATCAAATTATTATATGGAAATGGTGCCGTGATGCCGAATTCTACTTTCTGCAGTATTTAAAACATTCCAGAATGTAATCAGGTATTCCTGAGGCTGCAAAGACCTCGTCAGAAGATCACATGTGAGAACGGGATTATTAGCAAGTGCATTTTCCTAACCTGCAAATAATCTGTGTTTAGAATCTCTGCAATAGATGCTTTTACTTACAACATCCTCAAGTGTGCATGGCATTCAGTTTTGCAAAACCAAACCAAACACAGATGCAGAGTATCGAAAGTTAGTAAGATAGGGTTCAACTTAAACTGTACGGTTCTGCCCCCATCCCTTCATAAAGACTTTAAAACTCAAGGCGCCTTTTAGAACAAAAATGGCACGCCTAAACTTATCTGGGAGCAAGACCCCCTGAATGCCCTGGGGCTTACTCCCAAGTAACCTGCAACGGAGTGTGCTGAACATGCCCAGTAGCAGATTAAGTGCGTTCTGAAGTTTTCCAAAAAATGCGAGCCTTGGCATTGCATCGTGAGAACAGGAGAGGGGACCCATCGGGCTGAGCAGCCTGTTCGCACAGCAGCTGCGCACGGGAGACCCGCAAGTGGGATATGAATATGGGCCCAGCACCTGGTGTACACAAGCCCAGTGTCTCTGGTACTGTGGGCTGTGTGTCGCCATCACAACCGGCCACCCTGGATAGCCCTTTTGTCCCTAAATCTGCTCTGCCCCTTTTAAAGCTGCAGTTCGTGGACGAGCATTGCATAGCTTACGTTCGTGCTTTGCAGAAGGTTTCCCAGGAAACAGCATTATGGGATGACCCCTTTGGGTTCCCATATTAAGGGAGAGGAGAAAACGGCCTTGCTCTCCACTTTCTCCACCCCATGCATTATTTTGTATAACTGGATGTTTTAAGATCTCGAGCAGCTGGGTTTTTAAAAAATTGTTGCTAGGGATTGTAATGTTTTGTCTTATATTTTATTGCTTTTGTATGCTGCTTACAGAGCCCTATCAGGTTATTCTGTGGCCTAGAAACTTAAATAACTCATTGCTACAGCTCCTTGATAATTTTCCTTTGCGATCTCCTTCCTGCAATGAGGGAACCGAAACAGTACACAATATTTCAAGTGTTCACACCATATTTCAAGCATTCACAATATTCACAATATTTCAAGCGTGGTTGCACATAGATTTATACGAAAGCAGGTGGGTAATTGCTCTGTTTATTTTCAACTCCTTTTGTAAAGCAGAATCCCAGGTTCAGAGTTAGAAAATGGGTTGATTTGTCTGTTGAAGCCTTCTTCCACATGGCTTCAAGCCCCTTCCTTTTTCTAGGGTGGTGAAGTGTCCTTTTGCATAGAGGACAGTCCTCTATTGGGAATCTGTCAGACACATCCTCTCTTTGGCAGGCGGTCTGGTATAAAGAAAAGCTTAAGATGAGAAAGAGGGTGTTGCTCAAAGCTGGGAATTTTCTCCTGTAGAGTTTCTCCTCCCCTTCAGTGGGCAGGCAGTTCACCTGGCCACCTGCTATGGCAAGAGAATTGCATTTCCACTGAAATCATATTATCCACGTCTGATGAAAAATTATGCCATTCTTTGTCTCACACACACCCTTTTTTGACAACATTTAATTGACCCCCTTCAGTCAAAGCCGGAGAACATCTGGAACAACCCCAAGGGACAAAGTAACAAAGTCAGGATGCCGGAAAAAGAGTAGTTATATTCCTTGTAGCCTGATGGACTTTGCTTGTGTATGATTCATCTGGACCTTCCTCAGAGTCCGCATTTCTAAAAATGGCTGTAGGGAGCCCTGACAAGGAACTTTCTCCAAGATGAAGCCATAGGTGGGAAGAGTCTCCTTTTCAGAGGCCCCTGCAACCATTTTAGAAGCATGGGTCCCTGAAGAAGATCCATGCAGGCCCCAAATGTGGGGCAAAGCTATGGTTTGATATCCATCCTCTCAAGGTGTTGTCTCTTCGTTCCATTAAGTGGGCCACCTTAGGTTATGTTTGCCCCTATCTGGCTAGCCACTCCCATTTCTGGTACTGGGACATCGCTCTCCCTCCCTCTCCCAAGTGTATACAGGGGTGTGCAGAAAGGTGTGGGGGGGAGCATTGCAGCCTTTGTGCCCATTCGGCCCCCATCTTCTACCGTTTGGACCTTGAGGACGTACAAAGTGCAAGAAGGGCCTGCAGGCCCGGTCAGGT